ACATCAATTTTTCACATCAATGATTGATTTTGAAAAGAAAAAGTTGAGTCTAATTTTCAAGGCATATTGCTGCAGAGTGATTTGGAATATCAACCATAAGATCAAAACAACTCTGTTCAACTTTAATATCTATATTTCCAGTTAGGTAAATAGGTCTCAAATGTACTTTTCCATTGTGATCTTTAAATTACTGTTACAGTCAATAGATGATATATTATTGTTGTATGCGGTTGTTCAATCGTCTTACGTCCAGGGGAAAGAAATGGTCTCTGAATCTGGACTTCCTGCTGCAGCTGCTGCAGACCCTCGTGCCAGAGGTCCACATGGAAAACAGGAGGAGGGGTGGATCGGTTCAGAGGAGATGCACTGGGATCTGATCAAGCAGCGCAAATGCCTAATGGCCCGGATGTCTTGCAGGCGTCACACCAGACAAAGCTGCAGCTGGTCATCAGGCTCCTGCAGTGTCACCGATGAAGAATGGTGCACGATTGGGCCAAGATTTACGAAAAACAATAATCATCTCCTCTATCATGTCCACATTTTAGATCCGATTGTTAACGTTATTAACCGATCCACCGGGGTTTTTCACCTCATCCCTGTAGGCCAGTTCATTGTCATCCTGAATGAGGCCCACAACAATCCTTTCGCCTGTGAACTCCCAACTTCAACTTACAATTTCCACAGACGTGAGTGTTAGTGTGTTGTGAGATGTGTGATGGCTGTTCGCGGCTTGGTTTAGCAAAAGCGGACTGAGCAGAACTTTTAACAGAAGGGATTTACATTTCAAATCTGTTCTCAGGATTCCAAGAATGTTCAATGGTCTAATGAGCTGTGTGTGTGTGTGTGTGTGTGTGTGTGTGTGCGTGCGTGTGTGTGTGTGTGTGTGTGTGTGTGTGTGTGTGTGTGTTTACATATGGTTTAAAGGTAAGAATCCTATTAGTGACCAATTAGTTGTGTGACTTATTAGCAGAGGTCCCCCTGTCCTGCAGACCACTGCAGGGTTTAGCAAGGTCTGTTGACAACATCAAGGACATCATTTGGAAACTATGATGGTTTTTTTTATACATGACAAAGTGGACTAAATGGAGGACAATTGGAAATTCTGGAAAAAAAAAATTGTGTGACATCATGAAAGACAGTCAGCCTGTTATTTGCTGATGAATTCAACATATAAAAAAACAATCCATGAACATGGATTTTGTTCATATAATTCAATCTTCCGTAATACAAAATGAAGAATTTTCACACGATGGACATCAGTTTTGCTCAACCTGAAACTAGCATTGCACATGTAGGAGAAGTAGTAGTAGTAGTAGTAGTAGTAGTACCCATTCTGTAATGCTGGTCAGTTTGTCAATTTCAATTTGAAATTCTGAATCATTTTTTCCAAACTCCAAACTGTTGCCATCATCAAACCTTGAACTTAGCAGTGTGCCATGTGAACAATATTGTTGTACGTTAGTATAAGCATTGTAACTTGTCCGTATTCATTAAAATATGAGAAGAAAAGACTAAAACAATGTTTATGTTTGACCAAGTAGTCATTTTTGCCCATGATATGAAAAAAAAGACACTGTTTGAATCTTCTTAGCTGCACAATCACCCCATTGACTTTCAGAACAAAGAGAGCACACAGGAAAAATTGTGTAGGACTGTGCAGTCATTCTTTGGCGTGACACAGGAACGTGCACACTGCATGATTTTGATGCCACTTTCTTTCCTCGAGCGCACACACTTTCTGACCTTTCAGTTTGTTTAATATTTGTTTAGTGACCCTAGTAAGAGAAGAAGCAAAAAGTCTCAGAAGCTTCTGCACCATCCACTCTATCCTTCACTGCTCTATGACGGACTGCTGTTGTCTCTTAGCAACGCTGCCAGACAAATCGATGAAGGGGAAAAATAGAAAGACATTGAGATAAACGTGGGGTGACGGGACGAGGCGAAACCACAGTGCAAAAACGGGAAGAGGGGAGAAAGGCTGCATAAGGGCACCAGAGGAAGAAGGTGGCCCACGGTTAACTGGAAATTGGAAAATTGTCAACGTTGTTTGGTGTGTATTGTATTGTGTTATTTTAATCAGTTGTGGTAATAGCAGGATTGTTATGTCATACACTGTTCTGAAGAATTTACTTTGTAATTGCTGCTACACAAATAGTTCGGTCTCAAGGGTGCCTACCTACCCATCAAACGTGAAAAGAAACCAGCAGGATTTTTTTTTTTTCTTCTGCGAACTTTGCATTCCCGAAAATGTTGTCTGTGAGCGTGGAATTCGGAATTTTGCCGGATCGCGGCACAACAGTTAATTTACAAAATACCAGCCCCACCCTGTCTCCACCTATGACTTGGCAGCTAAGCTGAGCAAATATCCACAGTTTTCAAGTGACAGTCGTACTACACGGGAGCATGATCATGTCAAAGCCAAAAGCTAAGCAGTGCAGTAACGGTAGCACAGATTATCATTAGATAACACCTTTAGGCTCTGATGAGTAGCGCATCGTTTGAAAATGGCCAGATATTCGTATTTTGAGACGTACGTGTGGTGCATACCCACAAGTGCGGATTGGGTGTGCTAATTGGCAATTTGGCAAAATCCCCTATGATGACCGTGAAATTTTGTCCAAAAACCCCCCCCCAAAAAACTAAAAAATACAGTGTTTGTAATTACTGCACAGCCGTATTTTTTTAAAAGAAAACAGACAAAGAAACCCGATGAGATGATTTTTTTTTTGTTTTAATAAAAAGTGTCTTTTGTGGTCTGGACAAGCAACTTAAAAGTTGAAACAGACCATGCCGTGACATGTCCCTTGGTCAGAAAGGATCCATCATGACTAAATGGACGAAGACGAGTTCCTTACGGGACAGTTCGGCAGTGAAGTCTCTTTTTTTATTTTATTTTATTTATTTATTTTATTATTATTTTTTTTAATCTTTATTCGTCGGCAGTGAAGTCTCGCCTTAATGAAGTCAGTTGAATTTGACAAGGTGCGAATGCTGTCCTGAAACATGTACCGATCATTAGGGCTGGACGATAAATAGAAATTTTAATCATGATTTTGATTTGGGATTCTCTCGATCTTTAAAGCGTCATAATCAAATTAAAAACTACGAATGTGCAGAACGGCGCTTCGCTTTTACAAGTTCCCAACGAAACTTAAAGCACACTGAATGCACCATATTGCTCATGAGGCAAGCGTGTAGCGAACGTGATTCTGTCGTCCCCGAGCGTGCTTTAAGCTGTTGAATGAAATGACACCGCAGTACTGGAAAACTAAACAACCAACAAAAAGAATTACTTTCTTAATAACAATGCTCTTCCAGTAAATTGTCTTAAATTACACTCAGATGGGAAACTAATTCGTAAACCTGTCTGAGATCGATATCACTGAATCTAAATCTAGAGGAGAGAAAATATATACTGTACACGGCTCGAAATTACTTTTTTTTTTCTTTGATAATCAACGACTTCATTTGAGGAACAACAGTGTAATTTTGAGAAGCAATCTTTTTCATGTTAATCCCAGGGCAGCTGTTGAATATTTTAATATTTGAGTACCCTATTTTCAAAATCTATTGAATAATCAAACATTCAGATGAAGTACACTTTTGCATGGTTAAAAAGTAATTATGGATACAAAAGAGATAATAATTTCAATTTTATAACAAACGACTTTCATTCTTTTACACACACGCACAGACACACACACACACACACACA